GCACAGCAGTTCATTCATTTTTGTGTGGGTGGCTGGGATGCAGGGGAAGCGCTTACCTCTTTAGCATGCCTTAGACCTCGCTCCCAGGCACTCTCCACAGGAGGCTCCACCGGAGGAGGTGGTGGAGGGAGCTCCTCCACTACAGGTCCAGCCTAAGACACACACGCATGAATCCACTTGATTCTTTATGACGCACATATTTGTTTTTTAAACTTATGTACATTAGTATACATTCATATACGCGTCACTGTTAAAGCATTGTACAATTTGAAATTACAGATATTATACAGTTTATACTGTTTAACAAAAGAAAACAACCTACCCAGGGATTATTGGGTATGAGTGGGTGAGGTTCTACAGGAGGTGCTCCGTTAGGTGAGAAGGGATCCGGCTTAGTGATGAGGGAATAGTTACCTTTGTCATTGACTCCGGGGTGGATAAACCTACAGTTTATACCCCAGGTACAATTTCCTAGAGAAGACAAAGTGTTACACTATGATTAAAATAATAATAAAGAAATTAAGTATTTGTGCTACAACCTTGGGTTAAGACACAAAATGGTGGACTGTACTTGTATTTGTCTTTTCTATTCTTCAGACCACTCAAAGCTCTTTAACCGTACATGTCATAATTCACCCATTCATACACTGATGACAGGAGCGAGCGACAACGCAATATATTTCTTATTGAATACTACACATGTGGTAAAGAACATGAAAATCTATATTTGGTACAAAGGCTCCCCCTACTGTAGATCTCCTTCCACAATAAGACCCGATGGTCGGATTCTTAACATGTAGGCGACTGTCTGTAGCCTATATGTTCTTCATCAGAGTAACAAAACAGATCTCTAATCCGTCTAAAAAGTCTAGATGTTTTATTAACAATTCTGCACTGCGCACGGTGGAGTTCTACCCCACTGAGCTCTGGGTGAGAACTGCTCTTCATCACCTACCTTTGATAAAGAACCTGCAAATGGGACGTGGTCTGATCTTCCTGTCTGATGGATCCTTGACCTCCCCCTCCTCCAGATCATCGTCCTGTCCACACATAAGGGAAATTTTGACGTCCTAAAGCAACTTCTTCTATCCGACCAAGGTTTGTAGTCTGTTCTATTTAAATGCCGTAAAAAAAAGTTGATTGGGTTGCCTTGCAATGCCTTTATCCTTATTCATTATATTCAACATAAAATGGATGAGCAAGGACATTTCCAGAAATGACACAGCCTGTATCTTTGAATCAGAAACCATCAGCAGTAGGTAACTATGCGCAGTTACAAGTTTAAAGTAGGACTACAACACCATCGGTGGAGATATTATATGGAAGCATATTCGAAAAAACAAAAGATTTGAAGGCACAAAAATGTAAACTAGTTCTACTCAATCTACTAGTCAACATTTGTGAAGAGCTGAATATGATTTGGGTGTGCGATCCAATCGTGCAGGATGTCAGACTAGCCAGTAGCAATAATACCATTATTAGGAAAACATGAGATTTACATATATCTTGAATATATCTCTTGTTGTTTAGCCTACAAAATCACTTATTTGGAGAGTGTAGATTGGCAGGGTGGGTTAAAATTTTTAGCCAAATTCATCTCCTTACTGTCACCCAATGTTTTCATTATTGGTCAGAACACACTTCCTGTGTGTGAGAGCGCATTATTTGTGAGAGAGACAGATAGTTGATCTACAGTGAGCCTCTGGCTTGTTCCTTTTAGTGACAGAATTTTGGTGGTCATGTCAGTTATAATTAAAAATATTGGATGTCCTGTGAATTAATTATTGGCCAAAATATAAATTTACACCAGTTCCTAACTGAAGTTCAGTATAGATGAAGGTCTTGGTCCCAGAACAAGTCCTTTTATAATGAGTATTTGCTGATACAAGGTCTGATTCAATACTTATTTGGTGGTTTGGAACATGTCTATTGTCAAGCCATACCTGCATTTATCAAATATTGTATTAAACATAAATACACAAACAAACAATAACGATTTTACACAAGAGAACATCAATCAAAATGTCTTAATAGAGAAGGCCATTTTCTTTACCCACTTTACCTGCACCTAATCCAAACTATGATCACTTACATCAATCTCTCCTTCATCAATCTCTCCATCGTCTTCATCCTTCTTCTTGTCTCTGAAGGAGTCTCTACGCATTCTCTCAGGCTCTTTGCATTCGCCCGACCTCTGGAATTCACTGTGTCTAGGCGACGGGGGAAGGATTGGTTTCTTTTCCCTCCTTTTATTGCTTTTGTCACCAGTTTCTTCTTCCTCTTCTCCTTCCGCTTTTGTGTCTTCCCCGTCTTCTTCTTCATCATGTGCAGGGATACTGGGCTCCTCTGGGACCTCCTCATCGTAATCAAGCTCATGCTCATCCAGCTCCCGGGAAACAGATGCCGGGTCATCCTTCATCTCCCTCACCATGACGGCTTTCCTCCTCTGCTCTTGCTCCGCTCTCATCACTCTGCGATCCTCTTCCTCCTCAGACTTGCTCATGTCTTCCTCCCCCTCATCGTCGTCATCATCCACCTCAGCTGGATCTGCTGAGACACTCTTTTGATAGTCCCTGTATCCTTCCTCCACAGGGTCTCCATCCTCTTCAGGATTTAAGCTCTCGCCCTGTTCTGAGTCTGGAGACTGTGGGGTGTCAATGACTCCATCGTCTTGATCCTCTTCCTTCTCGTCCTCCCCATCCAACTGTTCCTCCTGCGGACCATCTTCCTCTCCCTCCATCAATACAATGGTACCTTCCTCCTGTCCAATACCATCTGTTTCTCCTACACGGTCCTCATCCTCTGGGTCAGAGACAAAGTCAGGGACAACCTCGCCGTCTTCTTTCCTCTCCTCCTCTAAATCCGAATGTCTTACTTGATTCTCCAACACCACTTCTTCCTCATCCTCCTCAAGCACCCCATTATCCTCTTCATGGACTAGCTCACTGTTAGATATGACCCCGTCCTCATCTTCATCAGGAGAATCCAGCAGCTCACTGTCAGAAAAGCCCCTCTCCTCCTCTTCCTCCTCCCCAGGAGACTGAGGGGACTGGGTGGGGCTTTCAGGAGTATCCATCGGAGAATATTCTGCTGTAAACAGGACAAAGGAAATCTGTATAAAACATGAAATATCCTAACTGAGCCGACAGTTTGCATTTACTAGTCATAATACATGACAGAACATTAACTAACCAATATGTATCAAAACGAATCACAAATAAGTGAAACATCAAAGAAGAGTATATAAAATGATTTTCTAACAGTTTTTTGGGATGGAAATAATCTTCAGTAAATTGAGATATTGTATATATCCAAATAGACAAACAACCACAGCTTCAAATTTATGTTTGGCACATGTGACAAAACCAAAGTAGACCAATCTTTGAACTAAATAACAGACTTAAATGTACAACAGCAAGAAGTTTGTATTTCAGTGCTATGCCATTTACCTGAGCCTGCTTACAAACTAATGTTATCAATTTAGATAACTAAAATAAACTTTCATATGAGAAAAAGCCATAATACAAGTACAATAGACATACATTCGATTCATTTTACATTTAAAGAAAGTTAGTTTACAGCGCAGCTAAATCAACAGCTAAGAACCACTTATTAGCTACAGCAAGCTAGCTAGCTACTAGCATTAATATTATCCGCCGTTGGCAGCAGCGATGATAAGACATTCATAAAACCGTCCTGCAAATGTCTAGGAGGGGCTCCATGGCGCCATAGGGGAGTTCTAATTAGCTGATACTAACGTGTACACACTCAAACGTCTGCAAGTTCGGAAAGTGAGTGTTATTACACTTCTAATAGCTGGATGGCAAAAAGGCCCGTAACGTCAACGTCAACCCGGACAGCTGGCTAACCAACGAGTACAATGTCTAGAACGAACAGCAAACACTACGAGAAGAATATAAATCATTAAACAACTCATCTTTGATGCGAAAGTAACATTAAAACGCAGCTGTACTCATGTGCGGACATAGCAGCCTACTCGTCTGTCTTTCACTAAACAATACACCCATCGGTGTAGCTAACTATAAGCTAAACGCGCAGCTACACTCTGCTCGCTGCTAACAATCCTACCTTTTTTCCTTTACCTTGTCAACCCGGAGCTCTTTATAGACAGCACTGCTGCGTTAGGAGCGGCACTCTCCTACTAATGTGATTTTTATACTGTCTACTGAAATATCTGACGGGTTAATCTAACAGCGCTGTTGGAGAAAATACAATCCTCACGCCACAGCGAGAGCAGCCATTACGTCAACGTCATCAACATACGACAACCCAGTAGGAAAAAAACCGCGCTGGGAACGAACAGGGGCCGATCTGAGATCAGTGGCCAAATTCCATCTCCCCGCTAAACCCTAAACCCTGAACCCTGAACTGGCGTTGCCTCCTACGTGGTTGAGTGTGAGAGTCTGCGAGGGCTTTAAATGGCGTGAATATAAATGGTACAGCACGTTGCTGCCACATGTCACCTCGCCAACGTCATAAAATATAATTTACAACTGAAGGTAATTATTAAACACCTTTTATTCTCTGATTTGAACATCGTTTAGGCTCTTTCCTTATGAAAAAAAAGTTTTACGTTTTTTTATGGAAGTAAATCTGTGTCATCGGATTTTTAAAGAAAAAGGTGATTGAACTTTTTGCAGTTGAATATTTCTGCATTGAAATCATGTATCTGAATGTTTTTCAACGTTAAAATATTCAACCACAAATAATTCAACCGCAAAAAATTCAACCGCAAAAATTCAACCGCAAAAATTCAACCATAAAATATTCAACCGCAAAAATTCAATCACCTTTTTCTTTCAAAATCCGATGACACAGATTTACTTCCATAAAAAAACTTAAAACTTTTTTTTTTTTTGTGTTTAATAATTACCTTCAGTTGTAAATTATATTTTATGACGTTGGCGAGGTGACATGTGGCAGCAACGTGCTGTACCATTTATATTCACGCCATTTAAAGTCCTCGCAGACTCTCACACTCCTTAGGCTGGACCTGTAGTGGCGGAGCTCCCTCCACCACCTCCTCCGGTGGAGCCTCCTGTGGAGAGTGCCTGGGTGCGAGGTCTAAGGCATGCTAAAGAGGTAAGCGCTTCCCCTGCATCCCAGCCACCCACACAAAAATGAATGAACTGCTGTGCGTGCGTGCGTACTATCTGTTTGGAAAGATATTCTCTAAGGCTTTGTAAGCCAAATAGGTTTTGATTGATTCCCTGTCACACAAGGTTTTCACGTGAAAAGACAGCAGCATAGACCTTAAGGAGAAAGGCAGACATTAATATAAAATGTTTACCATCATTTGTGTTTCATTTTAATAAGTTGTTCTGTGTCCCATAGGTGTTGAAGAAGGCCACCATCCGTAAGGAGCAAGAGCCTGACTTTGAGGAGAAGCGCTTTAATGTGACCATCGGAGAGGTAAATTAAAAAATTCGAAATAAAGATAAACAATTGAAAGTCAGCGCTGAACTTCAATTACTGATGTTAAAAACCACAAACCAAGCCAGAATGGATTAAGGATTCTGGCCTCAATTTGTGGATGGATGGATTAAGGATTCTGGCCTCAATTTGTGGATGGATGGATTATGGATTCTGGCCTCAATTTATATCAAGACAGTTACAAAATCAGCCTACTATCACCTAAAAAATATATATATGATTTGTCTCAACAAAATTTAGAAAAACTTGTCCATGCATTTATCTTCAGTAGACTTGATTACTGTAACAGTGTTTTTACAAGTTAATCAGAAAGCTGCCAGAATGCTCCAGCTCGAGTCCTCACTAGGACGAGGAAAGTGGATCACATCACTCCAGTTCTCAGGTCTTTACACTTGCTTCTTTTCCAAGACTTTACTTCAAAATCCTGCTGATGGTTTATAAAGCACTAAATGATTTAGAGCCAAAGTACATTTCGGATCTGCTGCTGCTACCTTATGAACCGCCACAAACCGCAGGACTGGGTCGTCTGGGACTGGTCTACTTTCTGTTCACAGAGTCAAAACTAAACATGGAGAAGCAGCGTTCAGAAAGAGTTATCTCTTTTAAATCCAGATTAAATAGAATTTTTTAAATATTTGTAACGTTGTCTTTTATCTCTTGAATGACTTTTTCTTTTATGTTTCAATCAATTTTCTTAACTGTTTTTAAATCTGCTTACTTTGTTTGGAGATGCTTGCCTGCTCCAAGGCCTTCCATGACTCTCTTCCTTACTATACTCAACCCACGGCAGGTGCATGGACCAGGAAGACGGGTGGTGAGCGGTGACACAACGCAGAGACGACTCCAGATCCTGGTTGGTCCGTTCTGTCTGGCCATGCGTCTGCGGATGGTAACCAGAGGAGAGACTAGCTGTGGACCCCAGCGCCCGACAGAAAGCCTTCTAGACCTGTGACGAGAACTGCGGCCCTCTGTCGAACACTATATCAAGGGGAATGCCGTAGAGTCAGAAAACATGAAGGACCAGGAGGTCAGCAGTCTGTATGGCCAAAGGCAATTTGGGGACAGGAATAAAATACACCGCCTTGGACAACCGGTCGACAACCGTTAAAATGGTGGTATTGCCCCCAGGCAGAGGCAGGCCCGTCACAAAATCCACAGCGATGTGAGGCCATGGACGGTCTGGGATAGGCAATGGTCGCAACTGACCAGCCGGGGTTTGATGGGATGCCCTGCTGCAAGCACAAACTGAACAAGCTGATACAAATGCACGTGTGTCCCATGGCATGGATGGCCACCAAAACTGTTGGCGAACAAAGGCAAGTGTGCGGTGGAACCCAGGATGGCAAGTAAGTTTGGAGGAGTGTTCCCACTGTAGTACCTGAGATCTGACTGTGTCTGGTACAAACAAATGGTTGGGAGGACCACCACCTGGATCTGGATGAGATCACTGGGCCTTCTGGACGAGAGCCTCTACTCCCCACGTGACTGTGGCCAACGGGGAGAAGGGGGGAAGAATCAGCTCAGGCTCGAAGGCGGGTCCTTCTGTGGTGGACTGCCGAGAGAGAGCATCAGGCTTGATGTTGCGTGACCCAAGCCGGTAGGTGAGGGTGAAATTGAACCTTCCAAGGTACAAAGATGGAGAGGGCTTTTGGCCCAGCTACAAGATGGACGAAAGAGTGGACAGGGCCGTGAAGAATGCTGAGAAGCCTGGAGCTGACCGGCAGACCTATGACAGCAGGATCATTACGGTGTGCAAATAATATCACTTTTTGTTGGCACTTTTATAAGGATAGCAAATAATTTTCCTTGTGTTTTATATGGGGAAAGAATATTTATTCATTGTTCATAACTTTGTACTTTCTCTTCATTCTGTTGCCCATTTCATTTTTAGGTAATTACTTGGGAGGCCAGGCAAAGGATGAAAATTCATATGTCATGCAGCATATCCGATCTGCAGTCAGAGGAGGATGACATTTGTAAGAAAGGAAAGCCAATCTTAGTGTGAGTAAATATATTTGATTCTCAGCCAAATTATCTCGAAGACACTACCCCTACGTAAGTAACTCATCTTTCTTGGCCGTGAAACAAACGGTCACATTTTGCATCTTGTCACGGTAAGCGTGTTGTGTCACTTTCTGTTGCCAGCGTGTCTGATGTCATCGAACTTTTCACAGCTCTACTGAGTTGATTGTGTCATGATATTTTTCAGTACAAGCAGTGAATTATCTGTTATCGCCTGACGTTGTTTAGCGTCAACGTTACTTCTATTAGCATTAGCTAACATTGCATTAGCCTAGCAGCTAACTGTTATATTATTAAAAAATAATCATGCACGCTTACGCTAGAATGAAATTACACTTCAACTATAAATGCATAGTAATAATGGGTGAAAACCGCTTAAAGGCCAGATTGCACGAACCCCAGAACACGAACATTTTGCTAAAAAGCTGCACGCACTATCTGAGTCAAATGCAGAAAAACAGGAAACACATTATCTCCATATTGAGAATAACACGTCCATACATGGAACTGCACAACACATACATTGCAAACATCCTGATATGTAGTGAACTCATGAACAACGAGAGGCGTGATGATCCGAGAGCCTAGAGGGGTAGACCTCCTTGACCCCCACCAGTCAGGTTTCAAGGCAGGCCACTCCACAGAGACTGCTCTCCTTGCTGTCTCAGAGCAACTCCACACTGCTAGAGCCGCCTCTCTCTCCTCTGTCCTCATCCTTCTGGACCTCTCTGCTGCATTTGACAAGGTCAACCACCAGATCCTTATTTCCTCCCTTCAGGAACTTGGTGTCACAGGCTCTGCTCTCTCCCTTCTCTCGTCCTACCTCGACGGCCGCACCTACCGGGTAACCTGGCGAGGATCTGTGTCGGAACCTTGTCCTCTTACTACTGGAGTTCCTCAGGGTTCCGTGCTGGGTCCCCCCCTGTTTTCGCTTTACACCAACTCTCTTGGCGCTGTCATTCGCCACAGCTATGCCAATGACACCCAACTAATTCTCTCCTTCCCTCACTTAGACACCCAGGTGGCGGCTCGGATCTCTGCCTGTCTAACTGACATCTCTCAGTGGATGTCCGCCCACCATCTGAAAATCAACCCCGACAAGACTGAACTACTTCTCTTTCCCGGAAAAGATTTGCTTACCCAGACCCTGACAGTCAACTTTGGAAACTGCGTACTAACGCCCACTTTGACCGCTAAGAACCTCGGCGTCACACTCGACAGCCAACTCTCCCTGACTCCCAACATCACCGCGACAACGCGATCCTGTAGATACACGCTGTACAACATCAGGAGAATACGTCCCCTTCTCACTCAGAAGGCAGCGCAGGTACTGATTCAGGATCTTATCATCTCCCGCCTGGACTACTGCAACTCCCTCCTGGCTGGTCTCCCTGCCACCGCCATTCGACCTCTGCAGCTCATTCAGAATGCAGCAGCTCGACTGGTCTTCAACCTTCCGAAATTCTCCCACACTACTCCACTCTTCCGCTCTCTTCACTGGCTACCAGTGGCCGCCCGCATCCAGTTCAAAACATTGGTGCTCACGTACCATGCTGTGAATGGATCGGGTCCAGCTTACATCCAGGACATGGTCAAACCCTACATCCCAACCCGCACTCTCCGCTCTGCATCTGCAAAACTACTCGTTCCTCCCTCACTGAGAGCAAAACACTCGACTAGATCTCGACCCTTTGCTGTCCTTGCGCCTAAATGGTGGAACGAGCTCTCTGAAGACACCAGGACCGCAGAGAGCCTTCACATCTTCCGCCGCAAACTAAAGACACACCTCTTCAGACTCTACCTCAACTAAAGACTAACAAATTGTAGCACTTAAATTGTACTTGTAACGTCACTCATCTATAGCAAATTGTAAATTGGCTTATTTGAGGAAATTGCACTTTCTTGTTTCTTGTTCTCCTGAGTTTGTACCCTATGGTTGAATGCACTTATTGTACGTTGCTTTGGATAAAAGCGTCCGCTAAATGATATGTAATGTAATGTAATGTAATGTAGACATCCCTGTGCTCCAATGGGGCTCTTTGAAGTCCTAAACAGGAGCCACCTCCATCTTAATAAACCAATCAAAAATGCTCTTAAAGACTATATAATTCGAGCGCACTTTGTATTAAGTGCCTTTTTCCTACTGTTGTCAAATAGCTTTAAATAGGTCCATGCACGTTAAACTGCAGGACAGAATACTCTTAGAAAGACTCACAAATAAACATTGGCATATTGCTTTGATCAAAGTCCCCAGTCTTGTCCTTGTTTTGCTTGCACGACATAACCTAGTGATGTCTTCCCTCCCTACCTCTCCTGCTCTTTCTTGTTCGGAGTGTTACGGGTTTAGCTATTCCTCTGCCTCCCTTACGGATAATGGTACATGTAAGAAAGAAGTTTAGTATATTTGATAAATTGGAGGCGAGGCTTAGTGAGTTAGAAGCACGGCTCCGCACCATGGAAGCTCAGTCGTTAGCCACTGTAGTTAGCCAGTGTCGGGATCTCCGATCCCCCCGAGTTGGTTGATGAGAAGGATTGCAACACGTTGATCAATTAACGTCAAAAAGTTAACATTTATTTAGAAGAGAAACAGATTACATGAGCAATTTTTCGCAGATATATCTGGCTCTAACTATTGCTTGCAAGCAGGAGGTCGAATACACAAGCACGTATTTCAGTGTTCGGTGTAAATGGCGTCGCCGAGCAGTAAAAACGCTGAGTTTTTGTACACATGTGAAAACCATCCTCAGTGCCAGGTACGAGAATCTGCAAACCAAGTTGAGATAAGAACCAAGGTTAAGATGAGAGTAGCACGCACACAGCAAGATCATCCTCAGTGGCAGGTGCAAATTATAATTAATTGACACAAAGTAGAAACGTGAATCTGAAAACTTTCGTACCAAATAAGATATGAACCAAGGCCATGAACAGAAGTCCCTTGTATTGAAGCGTCGATACAAGCGTCACACGGTTCACCACCAACCACATTTCAAACCGCTTCTCCCCACTCAGCGACACACCCGCTGAGAAGCCAAATCTGGTGATAGGTAGCTACATTCGGAGGAACAGGAAGTTAGTGATATAGTGACCATAGTTACATGTATACCCGGGGCCAGAGCGGGCGACATTGAGTCTTAAACTGCTGGCTAAGGATAAACGTAAATACAGTAATTTCGTTCACGTCGACGGTAATGACTCCTGATTACGTCGCTCGGAGGTCACTAAAGTTAATGTGGAATCGGTGTGTTCATACGCTAAAATAATGTCGGACACCGTAGTTTTCTCTGGTCCCCTCCCAAACTTTATCAGTGACAATATGTATAGCCGCATGTCGTCATTCTGCCACTGGTTGTCGAGGTGGTGCCCAGTAAATAATGTGGGCTTCGTTGATCACTGGAAGACGTTTTGGGGAGAGCCTGGTCGGATTAGGAGGGACAGCATCCATCCCACTTTGGATGGAGTGGACTTAATCCATGACCCAGATTTCAGACCAGGAAACAGAGTCGCAGTCTTACACACTTGTCGCTTCCATCCGAGCAGTCACTCACCCAAACCATAATTAACCCTATACAGACCTTGTCTGTCCCACAGACAGTTATCTAAATCAAAGGTAAAATACCAATGGTAGTTAGAGTAAATAACTTTAAACTTTAATTAAAGTTACAACTAATAATGCAACAGTGCAACGATATCAGAAGACTCCTGTGAGTCCGTCCCAGATCGATCATTTTGTCGATGCTGCTACAGGCTCTTTGAAAGTGGCGCTGGACACTATTGCTCCTCTGGAAAGAAGAATAGCAACAAGAAGGAAGTTTGCTCCTTGGTGTAACCCTCAAACCCGGAACCTAAAGCAAACTGTGCGGAAACTTGAACGATTATGGCGTTTCACCCAATCGGAAGGATCTAGGCCAGTTTGGTAACACAGCCATAAAACATATAAGAAGGCTCTCCGTAACACAAGAGCATCTTATTTCTCATCATTAATAGAGAAAAATAAAAACAACTCCAGGTTTCTCTTCAGCACTGTAGCCAGACTGACAGTCACAGCTCTGTCAAGCCATGTATTCCTTTGGACCTCAGTAGTAACGACTTCATGAATTTCTTCAATGATAAGATTCCGACTATAAAAGAGAAAATGTATGGTCTCCTGCCTTCAACCAGTGCCGACCTGTCCTCAGATGTAGGAACCTTGGATGCAGCAGTGGGCCCTGATGCCTGCTTGGATGCCTTCTCTTCCATCAACCTTGATCAACTGACTTCTATAATTTCAATGTCTAAGTCTTCTATTTGTCTCTTGGATCCGATTTCCGTCTGCTTAAGGAAGTCTTCACTCGATATCATGTGTAGCGGCCGTCTGCCACTTCCTGTGTGTGAGTGTTGGTACTTTTATTTTGAAATGTAATTAGCATCAGAGTCACGTGGGCAGGGGTGCAGTGATTTGTGAATGAGTGTAGGCATCTAGGCGGAGTGATGGTTGTATGGACATGGGGGTGAGTCGGGAGACGATACTTTTTGTTGACCGTATTCTACAGCGCACTTTATTGCATCGTCACACAGCATGTATCGCTTCGCCTGCTTGGATGTTTTTTAACTTGACTTTCGGACAATTTCTGCTTTTATTTTGAAAAGCGCCGTTTTCTTCTTCTTATGTTTTTTTGTGACGCTAACTTCCTGCTACTTACCATTTGCAACGTGGAAGTCACGCATCGTCGAAGCAAGGGTAAAACTTGTAAACTTATTAGTTATGTATTGTGTTAAATACATTACAATGATGTAAAGAAAGAGTTTAAATCGTAATTTATTTCATTATTTTGTATTGTTCGTACCTGTCATTTCAAAAAGCTCCTAATTATGAGGGTGTGCCGAGATGCTAGCTGGTGGAGGAAATTCCTTTGATTAGCGCTCTTGGAGAGCGGATTGAGGTATGAAGGATGCATGTGATGTTTTATTTGTCATAGCGTTTTAAACATTTCATTTCACTTTGGCTAGTATTTCAAATGATTTGTATCGAGTGTAAACATTATTTTGTATAGTTAATTGTTGAAACTACATAGAAGCATTGTGTATTTCTTCTGTTTCATTCTGTAGTTTTCACGGTGTTCAAGATGTTCACGACCCGTTTGAAACTCTCTGCGTCTTGATCAATCAATCCGAGGGGCCCGCTACAATCATTTAATAAATAAGCTTTAAGTGAACATGGGGGTGTGTTTGTGAGTGAGAGTTTGTGAGTGTAGTATAGAGAACGAGTTAAAATAAGTTTGTTAAAACAAATCCTGTTACATTTTCTGATTAGTATTTTTCTTTATTTTTTTAAATAAATATTAGGTTCATGGAGCAACTTGTACTGAAGTATTTTTGCAATGTGAATTTGCAGTTCTGTTTTAGAATAAAGGGTTGGAAATTAAAGCTTTTTAATGGTGTTTTTATCATCCAATTCATCAATTAATCGAAGAAATAATCAACCAATTAATCGATTATCAAAATAATTGTTAGTTGCAGCCCTACTATTGAGTACGCGCCAATTATTCTCAGACGTAATATAAGCAAAGGCCAAGTCGCTGGTGCAGCAGGCAAATGTTTATTGAGGTCAATACACAGCGGTGTAAAGAGTGGACTGAGAATTTGAGAAAGAAATGGAAGGAGAAGAAAGTTATGAAAAGAAAGAAG